TGACCTCTTACCTTTTTCCCCATGAGCCTGTTCATTTCATTACTCATTCCATTTCATTTCCTTGGTCTGTACCATTGACTACCCACCTCTTCTCTTCCTCAGGATGGACAGGAGTTATGTCCACCAATTGTTGACATGGGAGTCCCTGAGATAATAAAACCTTGTAAGGTGAGGAGGGATTTGAGCCATTGCAAGGGAGATTTTTGTCAAACAATGAGTAACAAGGTATCTTTTCATTCCAGGAAAGCTATAAAGGATGTGAGATCCTGAAAAGTCTGGTCCTACAGTTCCTATTGCAGTAAGTATTCCTGAAACCATGAGGCAAGGGAAGGCTGGGACAAGACAAGTCATCCCAGCACAGGTCTGCTTATGGTTTGAGGGAAGTTTTCAAGTCTTATTTGGAGCTTGGACCACAGAGATAGCCTGTCCTGTTTGCTCTCCAACAGGTATTTCTTGATCTATGACTCCGGAAACCGACAGGGTCTCCTTGGTGCTTACCATGATGAGGCCTGCTTCTCTCTTACCATTCCCTTCAACCCTGAGGACCCAGGCCCGTAAGTATCACAGCTTACACTGGTCAGGGGCCATGTAGGTCCCTGGAAGACTCGAAGACTCAAGCCAGCTCCTGAAAATTTCTGAACTGGCTGAGCTACCACCTTCTGATCCCCTTTTCCTCCTAGGAGCAGCTTATGCAAGTACTTCAAGGAAAGCAGGAATATGAAGACGCTCAAGGACCCTTGTAAGTGTGTATGGGCAAGACTGAGCAGGGTAGTGGGTATGAAGGGCCAATCAGAGGGAGCATGGTCAAGGTGTGTCAGCCCTCCATCTTCACCTCTCTTTCCTACAGCAGACCTACAGAGGGAGTTGCTAAAACACACAAAACGTGACATTGTGGACACCCTCAGCATGTTGCCCAAAACTCAGCATGACTTGAGCACTTTTGTGGTAGACATGTGGTTCCAGACTGTGAGTACCTGCTTTCTCTGCCAGGCAGGCCTATAACCAGAGGTGAGTAGGAGGTTTTGGGAAGATCATGAATGCCCTAGTTTACTATTATTTCCTTTCAGGAAACGATGCTCTGCTTTTCTGTCAATGGGATATTTAAAGAAGGTGGGTACAGTTCTCTCTCCAGATGCGTCATTACTCCTTTATTCTAGCTGGGCTTCCTCTCAGAAGTCTCTCAGCTTCCCAGATTTCTTTCTTTCTCTTCCTTTCTTTTCCCTCCCCTTCTCTCCCCTTCCCCTTGTGTTCTCCTGTCCCCTAACTACTGACTTGATCTAAATACATGCCTGTCTACACTGCACAGCTTAGGTATTAGGGAAACAGCCTACAGATATGTGGCTTTCATCACTGTGAACATGGCCTATTGCTTAACTCTTCAATTTACTCATTTTCCAAATGGGCCTAGCAAGGTCATCTCTTGTACAGCTGTGAAAAATGGATCAAGTGAACTTGTGTTTGTCAAAGGACCTGACACATGCTAGGGAGTCCTATAACTGGGAGTTGATTACTCCTGTGGTTGCCCTCTACATCCCCAAAACCTCTTCCTGACTCCCAGTGACAAATTCTGCTGGTTTGGTTCCCTTCGGGGTGCCACAAGAGTATCAAGTAAGGCACTGATTGAGGAGTGACATGTGAGCATATAAATCATGTATAACTCTAAGAGAGTATCATTGTTTGTTGTTGAAGTGGAAGAAAAGTCTCAGTGTCCTGTTCGTGCCTTCACCCGAACCTTCATCTTGACACCTGACAGAAATTCTGGGTAAGTGCTATGTTGTGGGTAGTAATGAGAACATCTATCCTAGCCTGGAGCCAGTGGTGTGGGAATGTGGTAGTACACTCAGTACTGTGGAAAGCCAAAAGGTAGATCTAAAATGCCTAGATTATTAATTAAGCTCAGGAATGGCTCAGGGAATGGGCTCAGGAATCAGAATACCAAGTTCTGTTCCTGACCTCAACATTCACTAATTAGCTTGGTCAAGTTATAATACTTCTTTGCAGCTCACTGTCCTGCTCTGAAAAAATGGGAGTGGTTGTTCACTTCTTTAGTAAAGGGTAACACAATGGAGTTAAATTTACGAATATAATGAAACTGTTCAATAAACTCCTTAAAGGTACACTTTGTGGCAGAGGTAAAGGGTACTGGCCTAGGAATCTGAGAGATAGGCAGAGTAAGTATCTGAAAAGAATCTGATTGCAAAGTAGCAATGGGAACAGATTCATTTTCTGTTCAACTGTTTGAGAACCCTTCTTTCCTCCAGTCTATGCATTGTGAATGACAAGCTGTTTGTGAGGGATGCCAGCTCCAAGGAGACCCAGACCACTTCCTTAATTCCAATGCCTACACCCTGCTCCAGTTCTGCACCCACCCATTCCCAGGAACAGAAGGAAGAGGTGAAGGAATTCTCCACTCAGTCAGAGAATCTTGAGTGCTCTCAGAAGTGAGTGTTGGGAGGATCTGGGGATAGGCATGAGCTGGGAAGAGTGGGGAGTGGGTAATGAAATAAATATGCAGTTAATCTGTAAAAAGTAACTATTCAGGGGTCAGCAAGTGGTATGGTGATTAAGTCACTGGACTCCCATGTGGCTGACTTTGATTTGAGTCTTGGACTTGGTGGCTTGAAAATATCACCAGGCACATGTGCATATGTGCCCCAAATCCCAAGAGGACAGTGGAGGAGAAGGGATCTTGGTGTGGCCGTCCCTCCTGGAGGGTGACTTCTCACTATCTCTCTCTTTGTCTCTGGTGAGTGCAACCACCCAATGCAAAAACTTAAAATAATAATAAT